AAAACTCTTTAAAAAACCCTGTTAGTTTTTTAGACCCAAAAAACTCTTCCAAAAATCGTGAGTTTCTTCATTTGAAACGAGCACGAACGCTTTTTAGTTTTTTGGCCTAAAAAACCCGTTAAAAACGACTTTCTTTTGGGTTTTTTGATCAATTTTTTAGTTCAGAAAAACTCTTTTATTGTAGTTTATTAATCTACGACTTTTTTTAAGAGTGTACTAGGAGTTTAAGCTTAAATTTGTTTAGAACAGAATCTTAGAAAATCTTATGACTTTCGGATATACTTGATTTCATCAGGATTCTGTAGGATTCGTTAGGATTCTAAGAAATTAAAGTAAAATCCTAGTATGATACTGGTAGGATATGTCTCGGATCCTGTCAGGAAACTCATAGGGATTTGACTAGGGTAAAGTATTTGAATAATAATAGTCATTTGATGCGTATCACTTATTTTGGTGTATGCCAATGAATTTCTATTTTGTAAAACATATGATACGGTCAAACAGAGAAAAATTATATTATTATTCATCTAGGTGAATATAAAAGGTATAACAACCCACACTCTTTTCGCAAAGTATCAATTAAAGTCATAAAACAATTCCATCTCATACAGAAGAAGATTTTTATGGCGCTCGTTTTTTTTTTTTGTCTAACGAAGAAAAATAAAATGATGGTTATAAATATGTGTCTAATCGGAATGTCGGTAAATACTAAAGAGCAAAAAAATGAGTTTTCGATACGATTTGAAACATTGTACTATTCTAATAGATTTACTCAGAATATCATAATCGTTTCTAAAAATATGTTATCTTCAATGAATGAAACAATCCTTGAATTGATTACAAGTGTAAAAAAAATACTCTGAATCTTCAACTATAGCCCAATTTCTATCTTAGACAAGGATTCTAGCAATTATTATTTGACTTTTTTTTCTTCTATTCTCGCTGGTGATCAACTATATTTGATTGTTATTTACATTATATACAAAATGATTATTGACATAGCGTCTTCTTTTTTATTTCTATACGATACTAATGATATTTTGTTTCGATGAAAATTAAATTTCGAAGAAGAATGATATGCTTTTTAACACCAATGTGACATGTGTGTGTGCTCATTTGAATATTCAATATAAATGACCTTTACCGGTATGACACATTCAATATTTTAAGGTCAATCGATGTACAATTAATAAATAAACAAAACGTTTCGTAATTGAAATAAAAAATTGACCTTACTAGTTTTCTTACCGTTTTGGACATGCTGTTTTTGTGGATGATGTGATTTTAACCACTCAAATTGTTGTTTTTGTTGTCGGTGTGGTTGTGGTTGTGAAATACATGGACCATTTGTATAAATATCAGCTGATGTTGAGTCGAGATTCGTTGTTAATAATTGTTCACTTTTACAAATATTTTGTAAATCTTGTGGTAGACGAAGTTGATCTGTTGGAACATGCGAATAAGCAGAGGATGTTGTTGATCGAGGATTGTATTCAATTTCAAATTTGATTGGACACTGATGTTCACCATAAATATTGTTAGGATAGAGGCAAGACGATGTTGAATATTGACGAAACGAGGGTGTAGTCATATGATGATAGTCTCCACTGCCACCATTTAGATTATTCCAATTTGGATTCATATCAAGATCGGTAATCGATGAACGATGATTATTAGCAGAATACAAATGTTGATGTAAATGTGTATGATGATGAAGTGCGGATATATTTGTTGTGTTTGTTTGAGATAAATGTGTTTCGTTTAATTTGTCTGTTAAACATGGTGGTGGTGTACGAATCGATTGATGTGGTCTTTGATTATTTGTTAACGTAGAGGAAGTTGTTGTCGCTGATGGTATAAGATTGGATGATGTCGAAGAAACATTTGATAACAAATTGTGTGTTGTCCAGTAGTTATTATTATTATTGTTATTATTATTATTCGGATGAGAATAATCAAATAATTCGACTTTGGATAAATTTTCATTTTGAATATTGTATGCGGGAGAAGAAGAAAAATAAGGATTATAATTATCCATTGTTCCTAGTAATGATTGTTGAAATAAGGACGATACACGATAGGGCATCATGGTTCAATCTAAGACATTGATAATTAAAACAGTAGTTGTTAGAGCAAACTTAAGAGCATCATTATGGAATCGTGCAGTTTTACTAAACGTAAGCGTACTCCTATTGAAGACTTTTCTCACTATTTTTTATATAACTTTTCAACATGTACCGTGCACGTATAGGATTATTTTGCAGAAAGATGTATGTTAAACTTTTCTACAGCAAAGGTGTCAAGTGTTGTACTACAAAATACAGAAATGAATAACTATACGAAAAGAAATTGAGGAACTTTAAAATAGTCAGATTTTTAACTAAAAAAGGCGTTTCAGGTATCCTAAAATCAACACGAACATTTTGTAGTCGTTTTCTGCAATACACTGAGTGAAAAAACCAAATTGTCGTTATGTTTCAATGAGTTTATATAAAGTCATCCTCTATACTATAAACTTGGCGTCAAGGTATTGTATCTTGTACGAGCAGAAAGAACATATTCAATGGTAACAGTAGATTATACTCTCATTCGACTCGATGCCTTTATCTCTGTTTGAAAAGAAACTGAACTCGAACACAATCTTGATGACTATTGCTAAGCAATCTATAAGGAGAAAAACAATGAGGTTTATCCTTGCGTCCTGAATAAAAAACTATCATAGCACAACTTTCTACAAAAGAATAAAGTCCAAGATACACAATGTTGAAAAGTTAGTTATATGAACAATACTGAGAAGCTCATTTATTGTGAAGTGAGCGTTAGTAAACGAAGTAATTTGGAAAATGACCGCTAGACTGTTAGAAGTTATTTATTCGTGAGATTTGAAGTAACATTATAGTTTAGAAAGAAAAACCTAGCTCGCTTTTGGCATACATTTACTCACGTATACCCAGTCAGTTGAACAAACGTTTTGTTCTTTAGTCATCTCGATCTAACTTTGAGAATAAATATCTGCGAAAAATGTGTGTAATAGGATAAAAGGATATATTTATGACTGTCAACTAAGACGTGTTACTGTATCATCGTATACAGACACGTTTCAATTTATTGGTCATGTGTGACCACAATCCAACAGTTTGAAATCCATTGGGGAATTGCGTTCTCTGCTTTTATTTACCTGTCAATATAATTTTATTTATGTTTTATTGCTTTTTCTTTGGCGATTATGCAATAATAAACAAAACCGGATGATAATTCTGATTTTAGAAATAATTCGTGGATAATCATCATAATCATATGTGAGACTGCCAATCAACGTGGTAATTAAAATAACGTAGTAATAAAAATTTAAATTACTTTAGAAAATACACTAGATGGCTTTGAATCATAAACTGAATAGGATAAACTTGAAAAAGTCTTCAATTAATGATGATTATATGAATAAACTAAAAAAAGTTCTTTTTTATTATAGTCGTCGAATTTTAGTCTTATTATTTTTTTTTTTAGGTGTGGAAAAAAAAAAGAAGAGAAAAACACAAAATAACGAACCAATCAAATTTTACGCAAAAAAATATGGTTGGCTGGATAGTGAAAAAAAAACGAATTGGTGATTGTCGATTCTTTCGTTTCCTATCATATTGATTCATTGAGAAAAAAAGTACCGTTTGAAATCAAAAAGTAAATCTCAACATGATGAGAGAACAATAGCGTATTTCAGTCAAAACTAACCCCTCTGTCATCTCTGACTATTGTCAACACAAAATGTCTATTTTGTACCTACGTGAATATTGTTCAAATCCGTCTCTTCTTAAGGAAAAGGGACAGATTTTCGGAAAAGGTCGTCCGCGTAAAAATATTGTCAGTATTTTAACTAAAGATCGTCTATCGTTATTTGACTATATCTTGAGCTTTTCAGTAAGTTATGTCTTTTGTGCACTTTTGTAACACTATCAATATTTTGTTGTAAAAAATTATATTTTTCTGCATGGTTTTCTTTTTTCACTACCAGGGACGAGGTTCGTCCAGTAGAGTTACGATAATATTGTGTTGTAAATTTTTTTAAATGTGCAGAAATATAGCAATAAACGACTACTAATAGCGTCCTTCAAACAATTATTCCTAATACAATCAACTGAAGCCCATTGGTTCAGGAAAACATATTAGACATGCCACTGGATTCAACTTTTGTATTTTCGATCCTTTTCATGTTACCAGTATTTTCTAAACAATAATAATGAATGGCTCTTTTATACAATTGCAAAAGAAGTAAATTGTAAACATTGTGATTGGTTTGACTATATGAAGAATATCCTGCCTTATGAACAATAGTCCATTCAATCTTTTCTAGAGCAACTAAGTTTGTCTTTACTCTTGATAGCAGTTTGTTTGCTTGACTAAATTGGACTCATATTATCAAATTTACTCTGCATGACAACAAAAATTGATTTTAGACTTGATTTGTACAGGACTTATACTCATTCTCAGAAGGTTAATTCAAGATTGTGTTTGGAACTATAATCTTTTGTGTTTTTCGCTACACTTCGCTTCGTATCGTCATCTGAAAAAAAGTATAAGCTGATGAATCTTAGAAGGAAACAAAAAAAAAATTTACTGATAAATGATGACATGCGAAATAGATTTGCCAACGGAATTTTCTTAAAATCGATGAAACAAATTTTTTGTGGATGAGTGCAGCATTAAAATTTTTCTCATTCAAAATCCTTCTTAATCAAGATCTTGATAAGAAAACGTGAAAAACTTAAAAATTCTTGATTTTCTTGTCTTCTTGATGTTTTTATGATTTGGATAATCTTGGGTGCAAGCAGTTCTACTGGGGTATCCATGTTCTCTGTTTTTATTTTATCACTCTCAGATGAAATGAGCTGTACGAGATTTCAAGGTTATGTTGAATTTCAAATGAGAAAACAAGTCAAAAATAAAAAGAATCTCAATAAATCAAAAAGAGTTGGCACTCCTGATCAGTGGGGAATCTAGAAATTTTTAACAGTACAAGCGGTTTTTGAACAAGTCCTTCAAGGTTGTACTAAATTGAATTTTTTGTGAGAGTGCGTATTACTTCGCATCTGAACACAGATTTTAAGCAACATACGTTCTGAAGTTATTTTACAAATCAAACTCGCTCATATACTTGAAAAAGGTACGAGCACCGCTCGTACCGCACGCAGACCAGATCCGCCACTGCTCCTGATTTGCAATGTTTTCGCTATGTGTAAAATTCATATTTTGTCATTGATGTCCCACTTTTCGAAAAAGAAATTTGTCTTAAATGTAAGATGTCTAAACTCTCGTGGATGCTTTTGCTAGGGAATTTTTTTGAGTTATTCACAAGTATCATCTGTTACTGTATCCTTCAATTTCTCGGTAAATCTAGTTTAACAATGTTATTCTTTCTATTCTGTGTTCTACCTGTGTAAAAGTAGTTTTTCGCTTGAATCCATTGAATATTCGGTGCAGATGATTTTTTATTACATTCATCATATATTTGTTTTTTTCAAGTGGTATTCTTTTGTCTATTGAAAAAAAAAAGAACTGATTTTGATTGAATTCAATCATCGTCATATATATGTGTAGAGATCTACATATATCGATAACAGATAAGAGAAAAAAAGATGAGTGAAATAGCACTTGACTTAAAACTTGATGTAGTCTTTTTTTATACCAAACATTTGATTACGCGTTTTTTCTTCTTTTTCTTGTTCTATATTTTTAATTAACTAAATGATATGAGAAAAATATCATGAAGATTTCACTTCAAAGGCGCTGTAAAATACAAGAAAAATTTTACACACATACACACACACACAAATAACAATTAAATTTTTAAAAGTATTTGATTCGCCATAACAACAAAAATTAGAAAACTTTAAAGAGTCAAATTCAGTATATGAAAAATGATGCAGTATTTTTCCTCTTTCCTAAGGATAAAGATAATAAGCACTATAACTCTCTCTTTTTATAATCCACTAGTAAAAGCTTAAAAATCTCAGGAAAAATGAGTTTATCTTTTTTTTGTTAATGAAGGATTATTCAACCCTTGTTTTTGCTTATCATCTGTTTACTGTTTTTTGTGCCACCAAAATAAATTTGATTAAATAAATGGTGTGAAATGAAATGTTCTTAGGATATTGATCGGTTTATATCACTTGACCGTCTATAGATCGTCATGTGGCATCTTGAACGATAGTTCAATTATCACTGACGTTAGATTATTATCAATATCATAATACGATATTTAATATATTCACATCGACACACTTTTCTATCTCTCAGTTTACCTACTTTTTAACTGTAGATATGCAAACGATATATCATAATTGCTGGACATACAACTCTCAGTTAATTATGAACGTTTTGTTATTTATCTATCCTAGTATGACCAATTTTCACAATCACGTTAAATAGCAACAATTTAAAAATAAAATTTTTATTCTTTTCTTCAACTCGACTCTTTAACATCAATGTGTGATTATAATTTTTAGCAAGTGAACTTATTTAGAGTCATACTGTGTATGTATGTTATGCCATCTTATAAAATATGAAATCAATGTCTATCAAGTAGTTCATATAAAATTGATTGTATAAACAATATGTGATTGAGAAAAACAATCATCTTATACAAATAAGTTAATACAGAGTCAATTAAAGTTACTATTCTGAAATTTTAGTAAGACTAATTAATATTAATTCAACATAATTCGTAGATGAGATTTAAATTTCTTTAAACTGAAAAAAGTTTCTATATCAAATACTGTGAATTAAATCTTTTAGGAGTTTTTTTTAAAATTTTTTAAAATGAACAATTGTCTCTATAGAGAACGTCTTGTATATATGTCTCTGATGTCAGATGAGATTGGTCAGGTTAATTTGCGGATTTCTTCTGCTAATGCACGTGGTAAACGTGTGTGTAGCCTTTCTGTCGCTGTATTTTCTCTCATAGATTAGCTGAGGTAGGTCAGATCAATAGAAAAAATACACATTGTGAATGAGCGCGTGATCTTCTGATGCATCCCATCTAATCTTAAATGCTCAGCAAAGGAGACTACATACACGCACATCGCATAAAATGTGGTTCTTGCAACTAACGTAGAAGCGAACATATACAAGATATACACACTCAGACATGTAGTTCCACCATATCATAAGAAGACACGATCAAATACGGCTGTCACATAAAGCTACAGGAAAGGTGACCTTAGCAGAAAAGCTTCATGATCATAGAAAAAGGCGATAAATAAGCCTGCCACGATTGCAAACATTCAACAAGCTCAAAGTTTCAGTTCATCCTTTTAAAATAAAATCTCAAACTGTAGTTTCATTGGCCAAACTAAAAAGCTCGTTCGGCAACATTATGTTTTCAAAGTGATAGTAAATCAAAATAAACTTCGTATCCAATACAGTTATCTCTTCTTCAACTACGACACAGTGATTCATAGTGAATTATAAGATACTGCCTTTTCGATAGATTGTAAGCTAGACCAGTTTCAGACGTCATTCTGCATTGGTTGAGTTAACAGAGACACTTTCAGTAATAATCCTCTGTCATCCTCACTGAGTTGTTGAATTGACAAATTTTTTCACATATATCAGCAATTTTTATTGTGTTAAAAAAATGAAAAGTGCTGTCTCTTGTATTCAATGCATATAAAAAAGTTCGCTTTTGTTTTTAAAATTATTTACAAAAAAACCACAGGATAAAAAAGAAACAGTAACAAGATCACAAAAAATAGGATAAAAACGTCTGTTTTCATGTATTTTGGTGTTAAAAGTCAGCCGCTCACCGGTTACAAATCGAAAATGCAAACGTAAATCATAGCACCTATGCCGGACGAGAAGGAAATGTTTGTAATGATTATTATAGCATAGCTTTGCCAAAAAAAAGTACCCAATTAGACCGTAACATTTTCACTATGCCGTAAGCTAACGTAGTTCATAACCCAAAGACGTTGCTTCTGTACATATTTCATTTTCTTGCTTCTACAATTACTAATCTCTAAAGTTTTCGCTAAAATTTGAACTTCTTTGGGTCATGAGGTCTTCACTTTGTTATTTTACGTGTAAAATATTTTTCATGCAAAGCTAATCACAACTACAGCAGCAATCAAACATTTAATAACCGCTCTCCCAAAAACACCAACAGCAACAGCAAAATACCCTATTTTGTATTACACGCACACAAAACACACTCACGCACATGCAGCATTTTGTTTGCATTATGAGATAAAAATGGAAATTCGAGCTAAAAATGTTGTATTATGTATTTTACTATTTTCTTTAGTTAAACAAATTACGAAAAAATGTTCTTGCTTGATTTTTTGTATTTTGAAAACTGAACAATAGTTCATCGAGTGTATCTACCTTTGTTTCTATCACAAATAAAATAAATAAAAAAAAGAATGGACGATGAAAAAAGAGGAAAGATGAACGGTAAAAAAAGAACGGAGCAACAAATCGGGTGATATGTACATCAGTTCATGACTAACTTTGAATGTGGATTACTCAGTGAATTTAGCAAGTCGTCGGAAAGCTTTGTTTCCATACCTGTTGGTTGCGTAGGCTTTTCGTAAAAATGTAATCCTGCTAAATGTTCAATTTGTTCATCGTTTAAAACACTTAAAACATCATCGGTATCCTCTTCGTCATAGTCGGATGTTGTCGTGATTGATGTGACGTCACTTATTTTTCGACGATAGTTGGATTGAGATTGTGATTCGTTTGTTAGAGAAGATGCATCTGACGAGGGAACAGTTAAACCAAGAGGACAAACAATAGGTTTCGAAGGTGCAAAAGAAGGACTATTGTTTGTTGGCGTTTCACCACCCTCAGGACTATCTCTGTCATGTAAAGTAAACACACCAGCTGGTAATTTTTCTGTACGTAAAAAATATGACAATGCATCGCGTTGTTTCTTCAATGTTGGATCATCTGTTTTCAAATTGAACGGTAATGGTGGATTAGATTTCGGTGGAGTAGATATAAACTGTTTTTCGGTTTCAATCTATACATTGCAAAGAAAATCATATTAATTAACAGATAACATTCTTTGTTCTCTCAATGGTGGACACATTCTCTTGTGTTACTAAGAGAATCAGTCACAAAAGCGAAACAGAAAGGTGAATTTATTTGATACCATTGACTAACTAGATCACAGATGGTTAATTTCTAACGATATCTCATACTATAATCCCTCCACTCGATCCATAAATTTGCTGCGAGCAGGGCTGACGCTACTGGGGATGTGTGGGGAGGATGCGACACCCCCGAAAGAAATAAAAACTCTATTTTTCCCAGCAGAAAAAAGAATTCTTGTCTCAGTGGAGCACACACACACCCCAAAACCTGACTGGTCGTGCCAGCCCTGGCTGCGACAAGAATCATGCAAGATTCTTCTAACAGTAATTATTCTGTAAAAATGCTGAAACTTCCTCGTCTTCCTGACCACGGAAAATTTTTCAAAATTTATTATAAAATTATGATAGGAAAAAGCGCCTTACGTCGCTCTGATCTTTTGCAGCTGCTGGCAGATCTTATTTTTGACCGACACAATAACCGTTGTAGATGAGAGATTGCAGTCAGCACTAAACCAGTAACCTCTTCCTCGTTTTTGAAAAGAACATGTTTGAGCTGAAATAACTTGCCTTGGAAAGTAATAGCCCCATATGGTATTAAACAGTTTAAACTTGCGTTTTCTAATCACTTAAAGTTTATAACCATCTCTTTCGTTCACTTTTTCCTTACTGTTGTATTTTTCATCCTGTTTCACTTTGTGTTACATTTTAAAGGTGTTATGTCTCTCAAGTTCTGAACTATTTCTGTAATCTCTTTGTCATTCAGAAAAAATTAACTAAAAATATTTCCGTTTGTTAGTATGATCTTACAACACTCGATGGTTCTTCTGATCCAACTCCAGCTGTTCGTTCGCCCAATTCTCGCCTTGTTTTTGTTTGTTTTCGTTGTTCATGTATTTCATTACTTATTTTTTCTAAATTACGTAACGACTCTTGATACTGGGCTTTAGCTTCACATACACAATTTTCTAATCCATAAACTTTCCGTTTTTGAAACTAGAAAAGAGTGAAGACATTAATAGTTAGGATAAAGATGTATATATCTATAAATACCTCTAATTCTTTATGAAAGTCAGCTTTCATTTCGTAGTACAATCTTCGAATAAGTAGAAGAAAAACATAAAATGAACAAACATCATGAATTGGATGGAGTAGGGTCTTACTTGGATTTATTTATCGAACGTCTATAGTCTTTTTGTAATTTTTCAACTAATTTTTCTAAAACTTCATATTCATTTTGTGCTTTTTGTTGTTCTTGATCAGCTTCATATTTTTCTCTTTCAGCATCGGCTGCCTAAAACAAAATAAAACCTATTGATTATCATAATGGTGAACTCAATTCTATAAATTACTTTAGCAATAGCCTGACCATATGTTTCATTCCATGACTGTGTATTCTGATTTGACTTTTGATATTCATCGATATAATCAGCCTAAATAGAACATAACTTTATTTAATTTTTAAAATTTTTCTAAAATTAAAATGAAAAGTTAATTAATACCGATACAACAGCCAATTCTTTAGCGGCCACGTGTAATGCTTGTGCA